AAACAAAACCAACCGTGAAGGTACCAGATATGTCCTTGGCATCAGGTGAGTTTATAAAGCTGTTTGAAGGAAGAGTCGTGCTCAAAGGGGAAATCCCTAATCAACGGGTTAACCAAGAGCTCTGGGAGTCAGATGAGGAAGGTTTGTCATGAAGGCAAAGGGGTCGCAGCTCTGACCTGATGCTTACAGGTGACCCAGGAGTTGAGAAATGACTGTCCTACACACTAGACTGTCATTCCTTTTTTTTTTAGACTGCCATTCTTAAGAAATTCAAACTAGTCTTTAAATGCTGTTTTTTATTAAGTCAACATTGTGAACAATAGCTTTACCCAAGACAAGTGTGAAAAAACGAGAAAGAAAAAAGATGAGTGTGAAAGTGACATTTCAAACCCATGAAGAACACTGGCCACACGGAGAAAAGGCGGTAGTCATTCCTTGTGTTTTCCATAGACCCAATTCCAGTTGGATTTATGAGGTAAGTGGAGGAGAAACAAGACAAAATCTTGGGGTACTAAAATAACATGCGAACATGTTTTCTTAACCTTGGTGTGAGAAAAGTCTGTGCCACAAAACTGCAGGATCCATGAGAGAAAAGTCAGAAAATTACATGCAATGACATGTAATTTTAAAAGTATGCACGATAAACGGGAAAACAGCATTTCCAAAGTCTAAGACTAAAATGAAGCCACAGAGTGTAACTTCCCTCTGCCGCCCAAACGCTTCCATCCCACATCAGAAGGGTTTCACTGAAGCATAAGAGCTTCTATAGGAAAAAAATAATTTTTAAAGGAAAGACAACTAACTCCTGAATATAGGAAAAACACTTAATTTGCATAACCAGTTAATTTTTAAAGGAAAGACATAACTCCTGAATATATGAAAATAATCATCCTCACTTATGATAAGAGAAAGATGAATGAAAATTACAATGAATGGGAGAAAGGGGGAATCTATCACAGGATCAACCTAGAACCTCCGCCCAAAGGACGGACAATGGAAAAGTGGGTGAGGGTCGATGGAGGACGATGTAAGATATGAAAATCATAATCTATAACTTATCCAGGGTTCGTGACAGAGGGGGAAGAAATGGGGAGCTGATATCGGGCTCAAGTGGGAGGAGAACGCTTTGAAAATGATGATGGCGGCATATGTGCAAATGTGCCTGACACACTGGATAAATGTATGGATTATGGTAAGAGATGTAAGAGCCCCCAATAAAAGAAAGAAAAAAAATTACAATGAGCTACTATTTCGTGTCAGATTGGCAAATATTTAAAAGGTTTGATTAAAGGCTTTGAGGTTGGGTATTGGGGAAACAGGAACCCACTATACACAGAGGGTGAGGGTGTCCAAGTCCTATAACTCTCAGGGAGGACAGTTGGCACGATCTCTCCAGTTTTTAATTGTACAAATCATTTGCCTAGCTAGTCTGGGTGGTTGGTTTTAAAGGACCTTGTTGGTCCCACTGTGATGGCTTGTGTGTTGCTGTAACTCTGGAAGTTCCATCGCTGATACGTGAAATACCTGTGGCAGCGTCACCTCCGGTGGGCAGGTTGCAGTGAGGTTTTCAGACTGAGAGGCTAGGAAGGATACCTGGTGATCTAATCCCCCAAACTGGCCAGTGGAAACCCATGGCTCACAGCAGCCTGGTGTCTGAGACGGTCTGGGAGCATGAATGATCTGGGTTGCAGAACAAAGAGACTGCCGTCAAATCCATTCTCACTCACGGTGACCTATAGGGCAGAGCAGAACTGCCCCTGTGGCTTTCCCTGGCTATCAGTCTTTACAGGTGCAGAAAGCCTCCTTTTTCTCCTGCAGAGCTGCTGCTGGGTTCCAACCGCTGACCTTGCCAGCTCCCAGCCCAATTTGTAAGCCACTAAGCCACCAGGATTCCTTCCTGGTTACAAGGCACTCAAAAATACACAACAGCC